GGCTGGAGCAGAGGTGCCCCCGAGCCCTGAGACATCTCGGAGCCCAGCTCGGGGGGCCTACCTGCAGAGCCTGGAGCCCAGCAGCCGCCGATGGGTGCTGGGTGGGGCCAAGCCACCAGAAGAGGCTGCTTTGGGGCCCAGGGCACCTGGAAGTGGGGAGCCTGCGGGTGAGATTTGGTACAACCCTATCCCTGAGGAAGACTCCAGACCCCTGGCACCTGAGCCCCCAGGACCACAACCAGGCTCAGCTGAGCCAGAGGGCCCGGCCTCCCAAGGTGAGCATTAGCCACATACCTCCAGCCCCCAAGATGCCCACCAGCTTCACCCCCACCCCAAGCCAGGCTTCTGAACCCTGAGATCTGCTGTTCCCTCAGGCGCAGCCCCTGCCAGCCCCCCCACCAAAACCTCCCGCACGAAGTCCCCCGGCCCAGCCAGGCGTCTGTCCATGAAGATGAAGAAGCTGCCCGACCTTCGGCGCCGGCTGAGCCTGCGGGGCACCAGGGCTGGCAGAGAGCGTGAGAGGGCCGCCCCCGAGGGCTCCGTCATCAGCCGTTACCACCTGGACAGCAGTGTGGGGACCCCCGGACGGGCAGCAGGGGCTGGGGCCACGCGGGGCCCTCGGGCCGGTTATCTCAGTGATGGTGACTCACCAGAGCGCCCAGCAGGGCCCCCGTCGCCCACTGCCTTCCGGCCCTATGAGGTGGGCCCAACAGCCCGAGCACCCCCCGCCGCACTCTGGGGCCGCCTCAGCCTACACTTGTATGGGCTGGGGGGTCTGCGGCCGGCACCTGGGGCCACCCCAAGAGACCTCTGCTGCCTACTGCAGGTGGATGGGGTGGCCCGGGCCCGAACAGGGCCACTGCGGGGGGGACCAGACTTCCTGCGGCTGGATCACACCTTCCACCTAGAACTCGAAGCGGCCCGGCTGCTGCGGGCACTGGTGCTGGCGTGGGACCCGGGTGTGCGGAGGCACCGGCCCTGCGCCCAGGGCACTGTGCTCCTACCCACAGTCTTCCGAGGTAGGATACATGGCTGCAAGGGAGGAGCGGTTGGCACAGGATTCAGCTCCCCCTTTCCCCCAGAGTTTCCAGGTGGGGGTGTGATTTGGAGTAGGAGACCAGGGCATAGAAGCATGTGGGGGCAGACTCCACAGATACCCTTGTATCTTCAGGGTGCCAGGCCCAGCAACTGGCCGTGCGTCTGGAGCCCCAGGGGCTGTTGTATGCCAAGCTGACGCTGTCAGAGCAGCAGGAAGCCCCAGGCACAGATGAGCCCCGAGTCTTTGGGCTGCCCCTGCCACTGCTGGTGGAACGGGAACAGCCCCCCGGCCAGGTGCCCCTCATCATCCAGAAGTGCGTTGGGCAGATTGAGCGCCGAGGGCTTCGGGTGAGCCCCCTGCCCCACCACAGCTGGCCCTCAGACCTATACCCCAGGACACTCGGCACAGAGCCCAGGCCTTCCCCACACATACATCCTGCCTGGGACACTCCTAAATCCAATCCCAGCTTAGACAAGCTGGAAGCTCCCCTAGACCATAGCACCCAACCCAGAACCCATAGGTCATCCATCTGTTTAGTACTACCTGGTCCCAGACCTTCTGGAGCTCAGAGTCAGCTGGGAGAAAAGACATGATTCCAATAATTCACTGTGGCTGGGACAATAGTGAAGAAGCTGGGAGAGTTTAAAGCTGGACCTGACTTGCTGGTTGGAGTAGTCAGGAAAGGCTTCCCAGAGGAGGTGACAAGTGAGCTAAGGGGAGTCATTTCCTGAGTCAAAGGAGGGCGGTGCCAGGATGAATGATCCAAGCAGAGGGTTTACAGGGCCAGGTTGTTCAGGCAGCCAGGTGGGGGCCCCATACAGGTGTCAGGAGCAGGAAGGCAGCTGGTCAAGCTTCAGTCAGCCCCTACCCCTCAGTCCACTGCCACCCTGACCCAGACCTCCACCCCTCACTCCACCCAGCCCTGATCAGTTTGTAGCACTGGCAAGATCTCTCTCTGTCCCCACCTCCAGGTGGTGGGGCTGTACCGTCTGTGTGGCTCAGCAGCTGTGAAGAAAGAGCTCCGGGATGCCTTTGAGCGGGACAGTGCAGCTGTCTGCCTCTCTGAGGACCTGTATCCCGATATCAATGTCATCACTGGTCAGCATGCCCCTTCTGCCCCTACTGTCTCCCTATTCAACCTTCACCCCAAGGGAGTCCCTGTGGTCCCTCTGTGACCGCCCCCTTCCTGTCTGGCCTTGTTTTCACTTTCCTGTGCCTGTCCTCCTCTTCCCCCTCCCAGCCCCAGCTGACCCCTCCAGGCTCAGAAGCCAGGGTTGCCCTGACCAGAGTGGGCCCTGTGTCCACAGGCATCCTCAAGGATTATCTTCGGGAGTTGCCCACCCCACTCATCACCCAGCCCCTCTATCAGGTGGTGCTGGAGGCCATGGCCCAAGGACCCCCAAGCAGGGCCCCCTCCAGCACTGAGGGCACCCGTGAGCTCCTCAACTGCCTGCCGGATGTGGAGAGGGTAAGTTGCGCTGGTGGGGGAGAGCAGGACTCAAGAGTGGGCTGATACCAGGAGAGTGCTGCACCCACACCTGTGCTCACAGTGTGCATGAACGTGTGGCACTGTCACAACCCTAGAAAGTGGGTGCTATTAGTATCCCCACCTCATAGCTACGGAAACTGAGGCTCAGAGCAGTTAAGTGAGTCTCCCAAGCATGCACAGCCAGGATATCACAAAAATGCAGGCTCTGAATACAGGTCTGTCCACCTCCCACAAGGAAGGTTCCTGGCTGTGGGATCCTAGAGAAGTCCTGACTGACCCTCTGTGCCTCAATACCCTCATCTGTAAAACGGGATTAATGCTAGCCCTGCCTAATACACAGAGGAGTGGGTCCATCCAAATCCAAGCTCTCCCATACCAAAGCCAAATTACTTTTGTCGTCAGTCTTCCCTCCATAATCCCGAAGCCCTAGCTCTGTCGTTTCCCCACTCTGGGCCGCCTTGGTCTCCACTCGGGTGTGACAGGGGACCGGCTTCACTCGCCTCATGATTCCCAACCGTCTTCTCTCAGGCCACGCTGACGCTTCTCCTGGACCACCTGCGCCTGGTCTCCTCCTTCCACGCCCACAACCGCATGACCCCGCAGAACCTGGCCGTGTGCTTCGGGCCCGTGCTGCTGCCGGCGCGCCAGGCACCCTCCAGGCCCCGCATCCGCAGCTCTGGCCCGGGCCTCAGCAACGCAGTGGACTTCAAGCGCCACATCGAGGTGCTGCACTACCTGCTGCAGGCCTGGCCAGGTGAGCCCGCCCCCGGCCCGCGCCGCCAATCCAGGCCAGGCTGCCGCCGCGATGCTTTCCCGGCCGACCAATCGGAGCCTCGGACTAGGCGGGCCACGCCCCCTCGCCCGAGGTACCGGGCAGCCTAAGCCAATCGTTGCTTGACGCGGTCGGACGCCCGGCCTCTGGGCCCGCCCATCAGAGGTGGGCTCGGCCAGTGAAACCCCATCCCCCGATCCGATGGCAGGTCGCCGGGCCAATCCGGGGCCCGGTTAGCGAGGCAGCCAATCACGAGCCCCGCTCTTCCCCCGCAGATCCCCGCAGGCCCCCGGAGCCTCCAGACCTCGCGCCGTACCTGCGGCCCAAGCGGCAGCCCCCGCTGCACCTGCCGCTCGCCGGCCCCGAAGTGGTGGCGCGGCCCCGCGGCCGTGGCGGCCCCGAGAGCCCCCCAAGTAACCGCTATGCGGGCGACTGGAGCGTCTGCGGACGGGACTTCCTGCCGTGCGGGCGGGACTTTCTGTCCGGGCCGGACTACGACCACGTGACGGGCAGCTACAGCGAGGACGAGGACGAGGAGGCGGGCGAGCCGGCGGGCGCCGCGGACTTCGACGACGACTTCGAGGCGCCCTTCAACCCGCACCTGAACCTCAAAGACTTCGACGCCCTCATCCTGGACCTGGAGCGAGAGCTCTCCAAGCAGATCAACGTGTGCCTCTGAGCCGGGCGGGGAGGGGTGGGACCCCGGTCACGGGCCGGGCGCCCCAGCGATGGAGGGGACCGGACCGGTCGCCCGGGCCGCGGTCCCGGTTGCTGGGGAGTTGCCTAGTGTCCAGCCAGCCGGTTGCTGAGAATCATTCCTCGTTTCCAGTGCTCAGTGGTGGGACACTGGTTGCGAAGGCTGGGGACTGGGGACTGGGGACTTCGAGACCAGCTTTTGGGGGCATCTTTTCTAAGTAACCAAGGGCCTCTCCCCTTGCTGCCAAAAAGCACTTCTCCCGCTTGCTGGGCTGGCCTCTCTCGCCCCCCACCCTTTTGCCAGGGAAACACCAGTTACTGTGAGCATCACCCCGGGATGGTGAGACACCGTCCCCTTCCTTCCCGCCCCACCAGTGTCCCCCCCCCCCAGTCCTCTTGCTGCTGCCAACCAAATCAGTATTAGCTTTAAGCACCGCACTCTGCTTCTCCCTCCCCTGGAGGGTCCAAGGACTATCATGAGGTGCAATTTGGGGCAGGGTGGGGGAAAGCCCCTACCCCGGGCTCCCGCTGGATAAGAGCAGCCCAGGGCCTTTAGAAAAATAGCTGGTTTCCCCACCCTCTCTTCCAGGGAAAACCCCATGATTGCCTCAAACCAGGAAGTGGAGATAGCAGAGTCTGGCCCTTCCCCTACCCAGTTCTTCCTCCACATCCCTGAGAAAACAGCACTTACAAGACCTCCCTTTTGGAGGGGCCCCACCTGAAATGTCAGGCTAGGGGCACTTTGGTACGGAACATATTTATTGCCTCCATGCATGTGTGTCTGTGTGTGAGGACTAGTGTGCATGGACACGTCTGGAGCAGGCGTATGGGGCTCTTTCAGGGGCCTCTGAGGGGGAAAGAGTTTGCAGTGGCCAGGCACCCTGAAATCTGCAGGAATGGAGCCTCAGGGGGCCCCAGAGTTCCAGTGGGAGAGTAGGGTCCCCTCCTGTCTCCCCCCTTTCCCTCACTTCCATTTTTGTGGACAATAAATCAATATGCACAAGTTCTGGAGTTTTCGGGCCCCCATGGACCAGAGATGGTTTATTCAGTCTGGATGAGAAGAAGGGAGAGAGGGCAGTTGTGCCCCCAGAGAAAGAGGCCCAGGAACTTTCCAGTGAGCCTCACTGAGCTCTGACCCCTCCATCCCCACCTCATCTTCAGGGAGGGTTCTAGAGTCACTGGACCTGATAGGCCAGGTCGAAGGCAGGCAAGGACTCTAACCCAGCCAAGCACAGTCCAAGGATGGGGAAGCCAAGGGTACTGACCCAGGAGGCCCTACACAGCGATGGAGCCATCTCGGAAGTCTGTCCTCCCAATGAGGATGTTGACCACAACTGGGTGGCCATCTCGGCACTGCTGTTGAGCATCATGAAGCACCTCAACCACCTGATCTTCTTTCTCCCGTGAGAGCAGCACGCCCTGGGCCCCAAGTCCCATGGCTGCCTTGTGATAATCTAAAAGGGGAAGTCAAGTCAGATGGTGGCAGGGACCCAGGCCACCATGCATTCAGTCCAGGAGAGGAACACATGAAACAGCATCCCCCCACCCCCCTCCACTCCACCCAGGCCTCTCACCAGTGTAAGCCAGGCCACAGGCCACATTGCTGCCCAAACAGGGCACTTGCTCCCGAGAAATCTGTGTCCAGCCAGCATCATTCCCTATCAAGGCAATCACTGGGATCTGCAGGGAGAGGATGAGGCCAGACCACAGCCTTCAGTATTAAGGCTTGGCCAGCCAGAAGACAAAGACAGGGACAGGACCTTTGCCAGACAGAAGCAGTCCCCCCCCCACCCCGCCCCAGCCCTACCCACTCCTGATGACCTCTCCAGAACCCCAAGCTCTGATCCCTTGGGGCAGCCCGGTCACCTTGTGCCTGACGAAAGTGTCAAATTCAATGAGGCTATAGCCAAAGGCTCCATCTCCAAACAGGCACCACACCTGAGCAGGGAACAAGGCTGGTTGAGTGCTCACTGCCCAGAAAACAGCTCACTGCCCCCTGCCTCCAGCACCCTCGCTCACCTCAGCATCCGGCCGGCACAGTTTGGCCCCGAGTGCAAATCCTGCACCAACCCCCAGAGTCCCAAAGGCCCCTAGGGAAACCAAGAGTAGGTGGGATTAATGGGGCCCCGACAATGCAAGCTATCCCAGGCAGAGGCGTCTCCTTACCAGGGTCAAGCCAGCGCAGGGGGCCACGAGACTGCACCAGGTGGGCGGCAGTGCCCACGAAGTCCCCACCGTCGACCACCAGAATCGAGTTGTCAGGCAGAGTTTCCTCCACCAGCTGCAGTACCCGTACTGGGTTCAGGTGCTGGGCTACTGGTGTCAACGCCTTCTCCCTGCCACGGAGCAATGTGTGTCAGTGCGCCCGGCAGTGGAGCCTGCCAGGAGCCCTCAATTGCACCCCCGGCCCCATGTCCACTCCACCTGGCCCCCACCGAAAGGCCTGCTCCTTCTGCCGGTCAGCTTCCCGAAGCTCCTCTGCCCAGTCTGAGGCCCACGTCTGGCCCTTGAGGCCTTCCACCAGCTTTACCACAAAGGAGCCCACGTCTCCTATAGAAGGAAGAGGATACAGCTGCAGGGAAGTGGCCTCCTGCCCTTCCAGCACCAGAGGCCCAGCGACAGCAGGAATCCAATGGCAACATCCCAGCAGGAGACAAGGAGGCAGGCCGGGGATGTTCCTAGGGCAGTTTCCAGAGTCTGCCAGAACCAGGTTAGGGCAGCCAAGGTAAGGCAGAGAGCAAGGCCAGAGAAAGGAAGGTTTAGGAAACACAAAATAGGTTAAAAATGAGCAGCCTATCTCCTCCTCACATCCTAGATCACACAGTGCTGGCAATCCTGCCTCTAAACACATCCCTCCAAACACCTCCATCAGCCAAGCATGTCTCTCCAATCCAGGCATGCAGAGTGCTTGTAAAGTGACCGAGAAATGGGCCAGTGATGCACTTTACATCTCCATCTTGGAAATGATCCCATGGATGCTCAGAGAAGCTGAGTTTGTCATGCCCATCCATCCCCACTCCAGACCTTGTCCTTTCCGCTCCGGCCCAGTTGAATGGGCCCCTTGGCCTCTGCCTACCAGCTGCTACAGTGGGCCTTCCCAGGCACAAATGCAGCAGTGCCACTTCTCTGCTTGACACAAGAGGTCCACGTAGCATAGTCAATGTGCTTGGAGCAATGGGCAAAGCAGAGCACAAAGAAGCCATGGGAGCAGACTGAACAGGGATAGTCTGCCGAGACAACAGAGGCAGCTCTCTGTCCTCTAGGCAGCTGGCAGCATGGGAGGGTTTGCGGCCAGGAGCACGATCACATGCACACTCCCAGGCCTTCCCCCTTATGCACATCCCACCATTTGTTCATCCAGATGCACCCATCAGTCTGAGAGCCAAATGTACATCTCTGCTGACTGGGTGCCCAGCAGGGCAGGGTCCCAGCCATGCTCACCAGCACCCGGCACAAGCCAGCTGCAGCAGAAGTCAGGAGAAGGACCGGGAAGAACATATATGTGTTGGGGGGATACTGGGAGCTCACCCTGGACGGCTTCCTGGGGCTTCCAGAACATGTCTGAGTTAAGCAACATCTCTTTCCGGTTACGATTGACAATGATGATCTTGCTGCTGCGGCTGAGGACACGACCGTAAGACAGGCGGAAGTCACACACGGCTCCTAGAGTGAGGAACATGGTCTCAATGGCGAGGGCCAGTGTCCTACTACCTTACTTAATCCACTCCAGCAGACTAAATGCACAAGGGTCCCTCTTCTTCCTTTCTCCCCGTACTAGTACCACATGCACTGACTTCACAGCTCCCCACCCCTCAAATCTGGGCTGGCCTCCGGAACATGCTCCGGCCAACAGAGTGTGACAGAAGAAGGCAGGCATCCCTGAGACCAGGCTTCAAGAATTGTGGCTTCCACGGTCTCTCTTAAAAAACCGTGCTCTCCCATCTCTGCATGTTTCTCATCCTCCATGAAGTAAACAAGCCCAGGCTGGCCTGCTGGATGATGAGAAAGCTGAAGGAAGAGGTAAGGAAGAGTGAAAGAATTCAATTATCCCTGCGGAGGCCATGTCAACCCCGCCTGCAGTCAGCCCAGGCTAAGTATAAGAGCCAACCCTGCCCGGATCAGCCCAGATGCCTGCTTGCGTCTCCCACTAGAAACTCATGAATGAGTCCCATCAAAACCAGAACAACTGCTACCTAACCTCTAGCTAGATGGACGTTGAGAAATGAGTTTATTTTAACTCACTCAGTTTAGGAATGGTTATTACACAACAGCAAACTGATACAACTATGGTATGTTAGGCAGGATTCCAAATACCTTACATGAGAACGTGTATTCCATATGTGTATATGCTATATAAATCCTATATAACATATACAACTGCAAATGCTGAACACAAATACTACAGGTGCCCACTATCTCTGCATTTTCCTTAGTGCGAGGCTGAGTCCCACAACACAACTGCAACTTTGCAAGAGTTTAGCTAAATGTCAAGTACATGGCTGTCCAAACCCTTGGAAGGGGCCCAAGATAAAGGATGGGTAATTATGAGGGGTGCCAGTAAGGTACCCTAACTAGGAGGGGCAGGGTCACAGAATGGTGCCTGGAGGGAGGAAAGAGGCTGAGGCCCACCTGCCAGGAGCACAACATCTGCTTTCTTCAGGGCGGCGCTCCGGTTCTGGCGGATGTGGAGGGGGTGGTTGCGGCCCAGCAGTCCTCGTGCCATCCCTCCCAAGAAGCAGGGGATGCCAAGAGTCTCCACAGCAGCCCTAGGAATCCAGGCAGAACAGAGGAGAGTGTAGTCAAGGAGTGCCCCCACCCCATAAGGCATCAGGGAAGCAGGGACCAGGTATAGGAGACTAAGGTCAGGGCTGAGGCTTCTCACCGAAGTCTGTCAGCAGGTGTCGGGGGCAGCAGAGCCTGGCTCCCCAGCACAATAAGGGGCCTTTTGGCTCGGCTCAAGATTTCCATACAGCGCTGAACCTGGGATGAGAGATGGGGCTCAAAGAGCCAACCGTGTGAGTCACCATCAGCTCCCAAGATCATGGCCCCAAAACTGACTCAGAGAGGCCATTCTGCCAGGTGGGGGTCCTCAGCCAGGGAAGGGAGGCGATTCACCTGCTGGGGGGATGCCTGGGGAATGTCCAGAGGCAAAGGCCCCTCAGGCTGAGGCTCCCAGGCTCCTGCAAAGAGGTTGGCCAGGTGATTCTCTAAGTACCTGCAAAGGTGAGAGGAAGAGGCGGTTACCAAGATCAATGACCAGGGCTCCAAGAGCTGGAAGAGACCAGGTCTAGGAGAGAAGAAGGTGGCACCGGAGTGGACAAGCAACACCCCAGGAGAAACACACCTCAGTGACCAAGTCTCCAGTAGCCTGTTTCCCTCAGAAGCTTCTGGTGACCACCCAACCTGACACAGACCCTCAGAAACAAGTGACACAGGCATGGATGCCAGGATCAGGGCCACCGCTACAGGGGCAGCCACACGCAACTCCACCGCTTCCTAGTTGTGTGACTGGGCAAGTAACTTAACCTTCCTGAGGTTCCTCCTCTGTAAAATGGAAAAGGGAATCTCCCAAGGTTCACTATCTATCCATTCAGAATATAAAGCACTGTGCAAAACACACAATCAGTGAGGCTACTAACATCCCCAGTACTCAAGCCGCTTTCTCTGGCTTCTGACACACCTCCTTCCGTCTCCTTACCCATCGGGCCTAGGGCCCTGACTTTCCACATAGGCCTGCGCAGGACCTGGAGACACAGAGATACATCCTGCCCAGCTCAGCCCTCAAGGAACACCCAACCCAGCCAAAAACAAGACACATGAGTGGTGGCAGAAGGCAGCCAGAGCCTGAAGCTTCTGTTTCTCTTTTAAAGAGGAACCAAGACTGTAGAGAATGAGAAGAGACCACAAAAAGAACCAAGGTAAAAAGAAAAGGCAGAGTAAGTGCCGGAGGCTGGGTAGGGGCAGCCCAAGAAACAAGAGAAGGAAAAATAAAATTAATTAATTAATTAAAGAAAAGAAAGAAAGAAGGGAGGGGTCATAAAAGAGACTGCCGTCATGGCCACAGAATTAAAACTGCTTAAAAACTCAGCCTGCCTGACACGGTCACCAGCCATTCCTTGTGTGTTCAGGACCTGAGTCCCCCTCTGTAATTGTGGTTCCCTAAGCACATGCTGGAGAAAGGGTGGGAGACACCTTGACTCACACTTGACAGGGATACTGGACTCCAACCCTATTCTTATTTAAGATAATAAGTTAATCATTCACTTGCGCATTTTACGCTATCAAAATGACCTTCTTTTATTCTTCACGGAATCTTAGTCTAGAGGGGAAAACAGGCAATGCTCCTCCATTTTTAGATAAGGAAACTGAAGTCAAGAAAAGTTAAATCATGACGCGGTCTACATAAGCGTGCACAGCACCCTATGTTAGCTGTATCTCAATTAAACCATGGCAGGGGTGGCAGTAGGCTCACCACTGGCTCAAGGTTAACATACCTAACCTAGCTAGTGGCAGTCCTGGGATTTAGACCCGTCTCTTTGGACTTTTATTTCCTTCATTACAGACAGCACAGAGCTCTGTGGATAAAGCACTGAGGGCCCCTCCAGGCTGAATCCTCAGCATTAACAAGCTGGAGGACTTCATGCCCGTCATTTGGCCCCCCTGGGTCCCAGTTACCCATCTATGAAATGCACGTAATACCTTGCCATTTTAACACAGGATGGATTGTTCTAAGAGACATGTGAAAAAAACCACTACTCCATGAAGACACTGTCTTTCAAGCAGGCAGGGGCCTGACTGTCTTGTTCACACCTGTCCTGGTACCTAGAGCAGCACTCACTGGTGGAAGGGGAACAGAAGGTGGAAGGGCAACCACAGGCAAAGAGCAGGGACAGAGAAGAAGGAGAAGGAAAATCGATTGTCCTTCTGTGCTGTTTCAACCAGGCCCCTCTCCGTGGTGACCAAAAACACCCCTTTCACATACCTCTGCCTGGAAACTCTTTCTATCCTCTCAACTGAAAGAAGATTTCCTCAAGCTTGTAGCTCTTCCAGGAAAACCTTGTCCCCTACCCTGGCCTGAGGTCTAAGCGCCCCCATGTGATCCACCCACGTCTCTGCATCCCACAGCCACCACCTGGATCCAACCACCAGTGCCTCTCATGCCAAGGCCCACCACACCTCCTCCTGGCTTCCCAGCTTCCACTCAACCCTACAGTCCATTCTCCAGCAGCAGTTAAACAGAACACCCTGAATCAGGGCATCGCATGCCTCTGTTAAGGCCCTGCAATGCTTCTCAATGGATCTTGAATTTTTAAAAAACCCAGGTCCTCAATAGCCCCTGCTCACTGCTCTGAGCTCAGCCCCTGCCCCTTGGTTCACCTGCTGCTGCCACATAGGCTACCTTGCTTTTCCCAATCCACCAAGTTTGTTCCTGCCTCAGGACCTTTGCATATGCTAGTCCTTCTATATAGAATGCTCTTCCCTTGGCTGCCCTCCCCCAACTCAATTGATATGCAAGCTGATGAAGGACTCAAAGGAGGGATAGATATTGGCAGGAAGTTACTAAAAAGGGCATGGTGGGAGTGGGGCTACTCACCAAGAGACCACTCGACCCATGAGGCCCTTGGGCGGCTTGGTTGGCACCATCTCCTTCTGGACCATGAAATAGGGGTACAGCACATCGATAGGCAGCTCCACAAACACTGGGCCTGAAGAGGGGCAGGGAGGCTACTGAGCTGGCCATGCCTCTCTAGGCCCAGGCAATAGGGCCTGACCACTGCCCAGCACCCCTCACCTACCTGGGGTGCCTGACTGGGCAGCAGCCATTGCAAGCCTCAGAGTGGGCACAATGTCCCGCACCCTCCTCACAGAAGCACAAAACTTGCACAGTGGTCTAAACAGGGACATCTGATCAATGGCCTGGAGTGCACCCCGGTTCTGGTGGAAACAGAGGAGTCCAGGGAGTTAACACATTGAGCCCTCTGAGGCTCCCAGGGACCCCCGCTACCCACCCAAGGACAGGGCACCTGCAGCAGCGTGCTGGCGGCCCCACCCAGAAGCAGGACCGGGGACTGAGCTATCTGGGCGTTCTTCACTGCAGTCACTGTGTTGGTGAGACCAGGGCCTGCTGTCACTGCTGCTACGCCCACCGTCCCTAAAACACAGAATCCATCACAGCCGTGCCCACCCTCCTGGCCACATCTGAAAAAATTCTGCCCCTCAAACACCTCCTATCCCATTCTCCCCAGCCCTCAGCCCTCTCTGCTCTGCCCTCACCGGTCAGGCGGGCCACAGCATCGGCGGCAAAGACGGCTGTGACTTCATGGCGGGTGTCCACCACACGGATGCCTATCTTCTCACAGGCCACCAACAGCGGGGAAATGTGCCCACCGACCAGTGTGAAGAGAAACCGCACACCATGGGCCCTTAGGACAGCTGCCACATTCTCCCCACCATGCTGGATGCTTGCCTTGTCCACCTGCACCCACAGGGAAGAGCAAGATTATCAAGCACCAGGGCAGGTAGGGAGAGGGCAATCTCGCTCCCCCCAAGGAAGGAGGACAGGACAGAGTCAGTAAGAGGAACTTTGATCTTGGTTAGGCATCTATCATACTATAGGCCAGGCCCAGAGCAGGACATGTCATCCTATCAGATCCTCTGGAGATTATATCGTTTTGCAGCTAGGAAGACCAAGACTTGCCCAAGCAATAGTCCAAGTCGCATAGAACCAATGCTCTCAAGCACCCCCTTGTTACACTGCCTGTCTCAGGGGCGGTGGGGCAATCAGGGAGAGGAGAGGGAAAGTGGATCCAGAGAACCCTAAGTAGTTTGACCAGGGGCCATCTGGCAGGATACCAGAACTGCCTCCCCTCCAGGGCCTGGCACCCTGACTGTGGATTCTAGCCTGCTAGACTTCCTCCCACTCACTAGGCAGGCAGGCCAGCCACCGAGCACCTGGCACGAGAGCAGCCTGCTGGCACAGATCATGCTGAGGCTTCCCCAGACCCGGCCTTCTCACAGCCCTGCACACTAGAGGCCTCTGCCTTAAACCTCCACAAATCCTCAAGATTAGTAGTAGCCTTGCTCCCATTGCTCCTGGTGAAGACAAGAGGAACTGAGGTGGGAGTCAGGGGCAGAGGTAAATTCCGGAGGGAGGAGCCAAGCAGTGCAGAATGAGGTCTGTCAACTCTTTCCAAAAACCATCACCTATGGCAAGTTACCTCCAAGCTCTCTCGAGAAAAGAGAGAAACAAAAGCAACTACTCAGGGAGGTGTTGAGAGGTACTTGACAACTATCACAGGCCCCCTCCGGGGCCTGCCTTCAGCCCACTGTGACCACACCACATTTAGGGAGCAGTGCTCTGTGAAAAGGGCTCCCGGCCGCTGGGGAAGGAGTGGGAAGGGCGATGAGCGCCGGGGCAGCAACTTGCGGTTGTCTCTTTCTAGAGGCAAAGTCCAGGAGGGCCTTGCCTGCAGCCTGGCAAACAGAGGACAGGGAGGTGGATAGAATTTCCCGACCGAGCCCCCTACATTAAGGAGTCGGGCCTCACTTGCTCCGCCTGCAAAATATGTGAGTTAGAGGGAGGGCCGGGAGCTCGTTCTTTCTTTGGCTGCCCCCAGCCCGCCGCTGATCTGTGCCCCCGCACCTTGTGCACCAACTGATAGAAGAGCCCCAGCCAGTGCGCGGCGCCCAGCAGGGCGGCCACCAGCGTCCCGCAGGCCAAGAGCAGGAAGGAGGGGAAGAAGCTCCGGGCAGGGGCGGCGGCCGCAAGGGTCTCCATGAGGCGGCACCTGAAAGAGAAAGGACAGCGCCAGCGAGCAGCTGGACGTAGATACCTTTTCCGGAAGAAGGTAACCCCCTCCCGCACGGATGCGGGGCCACGCCTCTCCGTCCCACGTTCCGCGCAGCTAAGCCCCTTACGCCTCACGAGGCCACGCCCCCTCGAGAACAGGCCACGCCCCTCGGGGCCAGGCCACACCTCCTGCGGCGCCAGCCCCTCCCCCTCCGTACATCACCACCGCCACTGAAACTAGCCCACCGCAGGCTGAGTGCGGCCTGAACAGCCTCCGGATGGCTTTTCACACTTACCTGCTTCTCAATGGTTGGCGGGAAGCCCCGCCTCTGTCACACCTGGATCCGAATCTCAGCCCCAATGGTGAGCCCACCCACCCCGCGTGTACGTCACCTAGAAGGCCCAGGCCACGCCCCCAAGGTAGCGTGCGTGCCCCTCTGCTAAAGCCAGACCTCCGCGCACTGCAAGCGCCTGAGCTCGACCCCACACCGCGGGCTGCGCGGGTCGAGGTCAGGTCGCAGCAGAAGGCGTCTCCCGCCCTCGGGGCACTTTGGCCTTCACGTTCGGGAAATGGCGCTGACTCGAGGCATTCGGCGCCCTTCGTGTCACATGACCCGGGCGCGCGGCGCGGGGCGGGGGGGGGGCCGGGGGGGCTGGGCCCGGAGCTGGCCGTGGCGCTTTCACTAGGATCCGCTGCGCCCTTTGGTCCGGCCCGACGCGCGTGCGCAGAGCCGTAACCGGACTCCGGGACAACCGCCAGCGCCCTATCCCTGCGGGCCGCCTCGCACAGGCCCCGCCCCCACCTCTCATTGGCTCGCCCCGCAAGGTAACGCTTTTCTTGATGAGACGCCACGCCCCTCGGCGTTCTGTAGGAGCCAAGCCGCTCCGGAGCCGACTTTCCGCGGCTTTCCACTGGCCTCCTGTTTCAGCCTGCGGTTTTCGGGCCTTCCGAGCCCGCCCGCTTTCACACCAGCCGTGCCGAACGCCCCTGAACGTCCGCCGGACGTGCATGCCGCAGGCCGCACCCCGGAACCCACCCTCCGGGACCGCGTCCCCGACAAGCCCCGCCCCTCGCCCTCCCGAGGCCCCGCCCCAGCCCCGCCCCAGCGCTCGTAGACCCGCCCCTGCCGTTGGCCCCGCCTTCTTTGCCGACCCTTGGGGTTTCTCTATTCCGAGTGCGCAGGTGTGGACCTGCAGAAGCCTGAGGGCTCTGGGTCCAGCCGTCTGGCCTCTGGAAAATGATCTCCCCATCAGCGAAGGGGAAGTAATTTTGGAACTGAGCACCTTGCTACCTGACCAAACGAATCGTGCCATTTTACCAGTGGCTCCCATCCCTTGTGGACTTCTGGGATCTCCCTCTGAGGATTCCCCCCGGTTGGTAATTTTATCTTCTGTTGAATCATTTTACTTTTCAGCTCACCCATTTAAGAGAAGAAAAGAAAACTCCATTTGCCCTACATTTTCCACCTATTACTGTACGTTTGCACCTCTTTTTAGCAAAATTCCTCCAATGAGTTATCTGTTTGCTGTCTCCGTGAGCCCCCGGCTATTCCCTCTTGAACCCACTCCATATAGACTCTTCCCGGCCACCCTATGAGAGCTATTCAGGAGTATGCCAACAGTCTCCAAACAGGTCCCTCTCCTTTCTGTCTCTCATCTAACAGCTCAACCCGACTCTCCTTGCCTATAATTAACAGGATAAAATGCAAACTTCCTAGAAAGGCCTTCTAGGTCCAATTAAATTCCCAAAGCCAATAACGAAATAGTGATCATTACTTTTCATTAAGCAGTTATTACATAGGAGGGGTTGTTCCCTACCCTCTTCACATTAACACATTTAATGCTTACAACAGGCCCTGTAAGGTAGTTTATATTATTAATATACTCATATATACATGAGGAAACCTAAGCACAGAGAGATTAAGGTACTTGCTCAAAGTCACAAGTTATAAACTTGTAAGTGAAAGAGGCACCATGTGAACTCAAGCAGTGCTGCCCCCAGACCAGGCATACCTCAAGAACAGGTACTGTGCGTCAACCACATGGCTTCCCCATGCCTGTCACAGGGTGTAACATTTGGGGCCCACCCAAACACCCTTACACTTAACACTGGATTTTATTCTAAGTGAGCTGGAAAGCAAAGAAGATTTTGAACAGCCTACATCACACGAAACCTGTACACAGTTATTCATAGGGGCTTTATTTGTAATAGCCAAAAACTGGAAAAACCAATGTCCCTTGTGAAAATCAGCAAAAGGAAATCTCATTTAAACGGGAGTTGGGAGGCTAGGAGGGGAGCTTACATGCCCTACCATTCATCATCAACTGCAGACCTTGCAAGTGTTGAGAATGGATACTATTGTACTGCTCTGGCAGGAGGAAGAAAGGTTTTCCTCCTCCCCCAGCAACAGCCAAGCTAATGAGAAACTGTGACAGTTCATCAAGTGAAAAGCTACTATTCTTAGAACTCTGTTTACTCCAATGAACTTTCCGTTTATAACAACTCCTCCTAAACCTCTCTTTTCCTCTATAAAAAAACATACTTTGCCTTTGTTCTCCAGATTTGCCTATAGTTTTGCTGTAGCTTGAATATCCTGCATTGTAATTTTCTGCTATTTCTGAATAAGACCATTTTTGTTGCTAAATAACTGATGGGTTTTTTTTTAAGATTTATTTATTCATTCAGAGAGAGCGAGAGAGGCAGAGACACAGGCAGAGGGAGAAGCAGGCTCCACGCAGGATGCCCGACGTGGGACTCGATCCCGGGTCTCCAGGATCACACCCCGGGCTGCAGGCGGCACTAAACCGCTGCGCCACCAGGGCTGCCCTTGATGGTTTTATCTTTAAGGTTAATGCCCTCGATAGGTGAATGGCCAAACAAACTGTGGTCCATCCCTATCATGGAACACTCCTCAGCAATAGAAGGACAAGCCAGGGATCTCTGGGTGGCTCAGTGGTTTAGCGCCTGCCTTTGGCCCAGGGCGCTCAGTGGTTTAGCGCCTGCCTTTGGCCCAGGGCGCGAGTCCTGGGATCGAGTCCTGCGTCGGGCTCCCAGCATGGAGCCTGCTTCTCCCTCCTCCTGTGTCTCTGCTTCTCTCTCTCTCTCTCTATGTCTATCATAAATAAATAAATCTTTTTTAAAAATTGAAGGGCAAACAATTGAAATGCACAACAGCTTAGATGAATCTCAAAATAATTATGCTCAAAGAACAGGTGTGTGGTTGCCAGCAGCCTGGGTGAGAGGAAGGAATGGGGGTAAAGTGGTCAAAACGTATAAACATCCAATTAAAAGGTAAATAAGTCCGGGAGGTATAATGTACAGCTTGGAAACCACAGTTAATAATATGGTATTGTAGATCTGAAAGCTGCTAAGAGAGTAGGTCTTAAGAGTTCTCATCACAAGAAAAAAATCATAATGATGTGAGGTGATGGATGTTAACTTATTGTAGTCATCATTTTGCAATATATGTGTATCAAACAATTGGTTGTGTACCTTAAAGTACAATCTTATATGTCAGTTGTACCTCAGTAAAACCGTGGTGGGGGAGGGGTTGTAGTCTCTATCCACAAGCTACACACACACACACACACAAAAATTATGCTGAGTGACAAAAGCCAGTCTCAAAAGGTTACATACTATATGATTCCTTTAATATAATATTTTCCAAGTGACAAACCATACTCAAGAGAGGACAGATCAGTGGTTTCTGAGAGGATTAGGGAAGAATGTTACTATAAAGAGGGTAGCACAAGGGAACTTTCTGGGGTGATGTTCTGTACCTGGATTATAGGACGTGTTAAAATTCATTGAAATGTACACTAAAAAACAAAATCTGTTTTAAAGTGTGATATTTTTAAATTTAGGGCCCTGGGTGGCTCAATCAGTCGAGCATCCGACTCTTGGTTTCAGCTCTGGTTGTGATCTTGGGGTCGTGGGATCCCGTGTTTGGCTCCTCACTCAACCAGAATCTACTGGAGATTCTCTCCTACTCTTTCTGTCCCTTCCCACTCTCTCTTTCTCTAAAAATAAATAAATATTTTTAAAAATATAAATTATACATATAATTTCATACATGTGTGTATATGGATATTATACATACACAATGTAAATAATTTTTAAAGATACACTAGCAGAAATAAGACTAAGACAAATACCATCTGATTTCACTTACAGGTGGAATCTGAAAAACAAAAATGAAGAAACAAACAGAAAGCAGAATCAGAACTATAAGCAAACCAATAGTTGCTAGAGAGAAGGGGGATACGAAGATGGGCAAAATGGGTGAAGGTACATGCTTCCAGCTACAAAATGAATAAACCACAGAAATAAAGGGTATGGTATTGGGAATACAGTCAGTGATATTGTAATATTGTTGTACAATGATAGTAGTTACATATGCAGTGTGGATAGCATAAGGTATAGAAATGTGGAATCACAGTGTTGTACACCTGAACTAATATTGCATGTCATACTCAAATTTTTTTAATGTAAAAAATAAATAAAAGATCCCCTAGCATCAAATTGAATTTTTTTCCTTGAAGAGAGAATTAGGAAAAGGATTGCATTTCTGCCTGGGTAATGCAAAGTTTTCTTTAATGCCATATGCAGGAACCATTACTGTTATGTGCTTCACATTTTGGGAAACAATGACATTGCCAGACCTTCATATTCTTTTTTTTTTTTTTAGACCTTCATATTCTCATCAAGCCTCATATTTATGAGTTCCAGAAACAGTATAGGGTCTGAAAATGTCACAGGGAGAAGAGATATCAGTGTCAATTCCTCCATGTAGTGATCTCTGAGACATGGAGAAGGGGAGGGACCTTCCAATGCCCCCATGAGTGGTTCAGAGGTAAACTGGCACCCAGATCTCCAGCTTCTGGTTCAGGGAACAGTGTTTCTTTCTTTTTTTTTTTTTTAAGATTTTCTTTATTTGAAAGAGTGAGAGAGCACCAGCAGGATGAGGGGCAGAGGGAGACGTAGACTCCTTACTGAGCAGGGAGCCCAATGTGGGGCTCGATTCTGGGACCCTGGGATCATGACCTGAGCCCAAGGCAGACACTTAACCAACTAAGCCACCCAGGCACCCCAGGGAACACCCCAGTGTTTATAAATGCCTATACAGCCTTTGAGAAGGAGCACAAGGTGCCCAGAGCTCCTTCTAAAGTGATGGAATACTCCAAGCCTTGCTTCCATCTGATTGAGCCAGAAGCAACACCACCAGGCCCTCCAACCATCCTCAGGAGGTGTGAGTCATACCTGGCCCCACGCCTGCACTAAATGCCTAATAAGGAGGGGAGAACCCACACTTTCATCCACCCAAGCAGAGAAATGAAAGCCAGTCTCAGTCCTCAACACTGGAAAAAATAAAAAGTCCACAGAAACCACAAAAACAGGCACGCCTCAGGCATATTCCAGATTCGATTCCAGACCACCACAATAAAGCTAGTCAAAGGCATTTTTTTTGGTTTCTCAATGCATATAAAAGTGATGTTTACACTATACTGTAGTCTAATGGCATTGTGTTTGAAATAACAGTGTACATAATTTTTAAATATTTTATTGCTAAAAAAATGCTAACCATCATCTGAGCTTTCAGCAAATCATAATCTTTT